CACACATGCCCTATAGCAAAAACCTCTTCAAAAAAAAAAAAAAGAAAGAAAGAAAGAAAACATACCGAGTGTGTAGCATGCGTGTGCCCCAAATCTTAGGAGAATTGAGAAGGGATGCTGCGTGGCCATCCCCCTGGGGTGCTTTCTCACTTGCCCTCTCACTTTGGTGCTCACTGACCAGTGTGTGCCCCCTTTAGCAAAACTAGGGGGAAAAAAGGTAAACCAGATTGCTCGGGCAGGCTCTTCTGGAAGGCCTCTCTGGCCCTGGTCCCCGTCCTGTCTCACGACCCGATTCCGGAGGGCTCACTGCCCGCCTCCGTCCCTCTGGCCACAGGCATCTCCGAGACGCTGTGGGCCATCGAGATGTGGGACCCCGCGGCCCAGGCCTTCCGGCTGAACAACCCCGGCACCGCGGTGTTCACGGAGGACTGCAACGTGCTGCTGAAGCTGGTCATGGCCGGCGAGACGGCCAACGCCCGCGGCCAGCGGCTGCCCCAGAAGGGCGACGTGGAGATGCTGTGCGGTGGGCCGCCCTGCCAGGGCTTCAGCGGCATGAACCGCTTCAACTCGCGGACCTACTCCAAGTTCAAGAACTCCCTGGTGGTCTCCTTCCTCAGGTGAGCAGGCCCCAGCCCCTCCGTGTCGCCTGCCGCCCGAGTGGCCAGGGGACAGCCCGGCGTCGGCGTCCGAGGGGTGCCAGGTGGGGTTGGCGTGGCTCTCGCCCAGCCACTGGTGTGTGCCACCACCTCCCGGAGACAGCTCCGGGGGAGTGGGTTCCACTAGCCACCTGGAGAACCGAGAGCGGCCCCTTCTCCGTCGCGTCCAGGAGGGGCCCGTCCTAGAACGGGCTTCTCCCCTCCTGGCGTGGGGGTGACCCATGGCCTCCGCCTCCCGCAGCTACTGTGACTACTACCGGCCACGCTTCTTCCTCCTGGAGAACGTCCGGAACTTCGTCTCCTTCAAGCGCTCCATGGTCCTGAAGCTCACCCTGCGCTGCCTGGTCCGCATGGGCTACCAGTGCACCTTCGGCGTGCTGCAGGTGGGCGCGAGGGCGGGGCGGGGTGGTCCAGGGGCCTGGACAGCAGCTCCGGAGCTGCAGGGAAGCTTCCCTGATCGAAAATAGGGTTCAGGGACCAGCAGACGGCATAATGACTATGTCGCTGGACTCCCATGTAATAGATTGCAGTTCAAGTCATGGGTCTGGTGGCTTAAACTCACACTGGGTGCGTGTACGTGCATGCCTAAGATCCCGAGAGGAGAATGGAGGAGAAGGGATTGCGGCGTGGCCATCCCCCGTGGGGGTGATTTCTCGCTGTCTCTCTGGTGAGCACATCTGCCATATATCAAAAATCTCTCTTCAAACAAACAAAACAAAATAAGGTTCGGGGTCGGCCCTGTGGCCTAGTGGTAAAGGCAGTTGGACCCACGTGACTGACCACAGTTTGAGGCCCAGCCCCGGTGGCCTGGACAATGAGCCAGGCACATCCGCGCATACATGCCCTAAATCCACCAGGACAGAAGGGGAGGAGAGGGGTGGCGGCGTGACCACGCCCCATTCATTGAGGGGCTGCTTTCTCCCTTCCTCTCCGCGAGTGCATGGGCCCCCTGGCAAATAAGAACGATGATAATAATACAAAAATTGAAAAGTAACTAGCTGGGGACCAGCAGATGGCATAATGGTTACGTCACCGGACTCCCACATAGTCAACTGCGGTTCGAGTCCTGGACCCAGTGGCTTAAAACTCACACCGGGCACATGTGCGTGCATGCCCAAAATCCCGACAGGAGAATGGAGAAGGGACTATGCCGTGGCCATCCCCCCAACCCTCTGGGGGATGATTTCTCACTTTGTCTCTTTCTCTGGCTCTCCAGTGAGCACACGCTCCCAATAGCAAAAATTGCTCTAAAAATAAAATAAAAATAAAGAACTAGCTGGGAGGGTCACTCCCATCCTCTCCAGCGGCCGTCCCACCGTGTCGGCCACTTTGTTGTCCTCGCGGGTCCCGCCTACCCTCAAGAGAAGGGAACCTGCCAGGTTAATGGGATCCTGGGTGAGCCTCGCCCCAACCACTCTGGAGTCACACAACTGGCCCTGGCCCTGGGTCACGCCGGTCAGGGGTGCCCTGCTGAGCACGTGTGTGTGTGTGTGTGTCGCCTCCCCCCCCATGCAGGCCGGTCAGTACGGCGTGGCCCAGACACGCAGGCGGGGCCTCACTCCGGCCTCCGCCCCCGGACGGACG